AGAATATACAATTAATGGATGAAGAATTTGACACTTATGGTAGTTCTGATGATATTCACGTGACATGACGTAATTTTTATATTGTATCTTTCCCAATATGTACTGATAATATTTGAATTAAAAAAAAAAAAATTTACATAATAAAATTTTTTTTATCGATGCAATATCTGAGGTATGAATCTTTTTGCACCGGCCCATATAAATGAATAAAAAACATGTAAAAGAAAGCATTTCAGACAAACTATATAATACTAATGCTAATTTTATTTCATTATATGCAATATTTTCAAAACAAATTAACCAATTCAAACTCTATTCTACCTCATATTTCAGATCTATTGCAAAATTTAGAGCGAAAATTAGCCGACGTAAAAGCTTTTAAATCAATACTTCTTATTCAGTCTTACTCATTATATTTAGTTTTAAAGTATTCATTCCACCCACATTCAAAAAATTCAAAAAATTTATAGTGAATGCACTTTTGTAAATGTCGTAACAAAAAATTTTTTGCTTATATTATATCCAGTACACCTTCACCTCATATTCCAAGTTCTATAATAAAAAAAAAGTAAAATAAAAAATGAATAAAAATGTTTAGTTTATGAATAAAATATTAAATTTTATAAATTTCACTATAATATTATTGCAATTATAATTTAGCAAATGTAGCAATGTTCTTATTGGTATACTAAATCAAACTTTATTATTTGATGCTCGTTTACTGTGCCTTTTAATAATTTTTTTCAGAAATAATTATTTCAACAATTTTTAATAAGCGTTTGGCTATTAAAAAAATAATCATAAAAATAGGAAAATATCATTTAATACAATTGAGGAATTGAGGTGGCAGCATAATCGCATAATCGAAACTTATCTGATGATATTTAATCCCAAACAATCACTCTTCCCACCCGCTAAGGTATAAAAAAGTTTACCACTTATGAAGAAGACTAGGGTGCAATATCGACCCCTATCGAAACGATTGAAAGATCAAGATTATCTATTATATAGGAAAGGAAAATAATGTAAAAGTTAGCAGAGAGTGACCACTCGCATTCCATGATGTCTAGGGAAACAAATTCCTTTAAGCGACAATTCCTTGAGCCTCGCTATGCTAACAATCTTATAAACTGTATCATTAAACTTTACCTCATTAAAAATCTTTGTTAGCAGTCTATAAACATAACATATCTCTTTCTCAAGAGCGAATGTAAACAAAGAAATAGACAAATGAAATCTGCACTTATTTATATTGAAACATGAAAAATGAAGAATTGTAGGATTCATGATCTTCATTATAGAATACATGTATCATACGCGACTTTTAATTTTGTTATCAACATGGTATAGATAACGTGATAACGTGATTGCCAATCAAATCATAATAATCACGTTATAACGAGGATTTTGTAAGTTAAATGAAATCATTCATTATTAAAATAGAACACCTAATTTTACAATTGCAAATACCTAGCGACAAATTTGCTGTTTCTGGATGAAGCCGCTATATTCTATGTCATCCTATCCAAAGATTTTGGTCATATCGGTATTTCTTGAATCAATTTATAATAAATAATTGTCGAATGAATCTTTGTAAATTATACAAAGTATCATGAGCAGCTCTTAATTAAGTCATGCTCGCTTGTTCCATTTAACCATTTTTGCAAGACGTATATAGTTAAAGATTCATTGGCGAATGAAATTATTTCTCTTTTTATAAAAAATGTAGATAACAATAAGACAAATAAATTATTACGACAAAAATTCTTTATTGATACGATTTGCAATAGGTAATCCTTGTAGTACTGTATGATTAAATGATGATTTCATTATATGTTAATACATTGTAATATTTAAATTTGCTGAACATGAATAGTATAGATTTTGGTATATTATATTAATAGCAGAATATTCTTCAAGCAATTATAATATTTGGAAAATATTGTAAAAATAAAAAACAAAAATAAAAAATATTAACCCTAATACAAGCAGAATTCATAAATAAATAGTGCTAAATATTAGACTAATATTGTAGGACACAAGGTATAGTCAACTTAATCTTCAATAAGTCAATAAATCTTTAGCTGATTTTTTAGCTCTCAAGACACAAAGTCAATATAAACAACAATTATTCTTTATTATTCTTTATAAATACTAAGTGATCGGCATTTCCTAACTACACGAAGATAGCAAAATTATTAAAATCGATATTGGGTCTGTATAGCAATTTCAGAATTTAGAATTCAATCAAAATGATGGGATAAATAAGATCTAAAAATTGTATTTTTTTCTAAAAATGCCTTTTGCATCAGATTTATTATTAAGATGAATAATAGTTATTTTTATAAAAAATTTTGTATAAATAAAATTTATAGAGGCAGCAAAATTTTTTTAATAAGTAAAATTTTATCTCATATAATCATTGGGACAAGACATGAAGCAAACTAAGTCTAATTATAACGAATTTTCCATTTTAAAAAGTTTTATCACAGTATTCCCTTAAAAATATAAATTAATCACATACGTAAAGTATTAAAAACTATCGATGCGATGACATATGTATGCCAAAATATCGCATGTCGCACTAAAATATTCGTCAACTAAAAAAAATAATAAAATACATTTTGACAAGCTTGCTTCTCAGGACAGGTTATTCAGGCTTTCAAGTAATTTCGAAATTTTGGTAATTTTAAATAAATATTATTCAATTATCAATTATTACTTTTCTAAAAAAAACTTATTGGTAACTATAATTTTCAATATTCCTTTAAAAATGTGATCAAGTTGTATCCAAAAATTATTGACAACGACCTATATAAAATTCATATTAGCACTTTAAATTTTATTATGAACATCTATTTTCAAATTTTTTAAGAAGAAAATTTCATTTGATATACGACAAAGAAATCCTAATAATCGTAAGTTAGACGATGATATGTAGCTTTATTTAAAATATTTCTTTTGCATAAAGACGTTTTTTCTAAAAATAAATTTATTGAGAACAATTTGATGTAAAGATTTAATTAATGTTGATTTAATAAAGAATAATTTCCTAGTGAAAATATTCTATTACTCTTGTTACTTTAGTTGATACATGTATAGAAATATAAATATCGAAATAAAGATCGAGTCATCTCATAATCACCCTTGACTCGAGTTTTTGTTAGATGTTGATGCAACAATTTGAGGCAGTATGGTTTAATACTTACATATATGAATCTCTCGTGATTTAATTGTATTACGACCATCGCTAAAAGATAATATCCAAGATAAAAAAATTATATGGACGAAATAAAACAATAACGATATTGATTATCAGTCTCGACAATTCTAGTAGATAATGTAAACTTTAACGAAAAGGTCATAAATAATGCAAGATGACGTAAAAAATAATTTTTCGCTGCCCCCATGCTTCCATTGCTGGATTATCATATAATTCATATGGCCAAAATATGAGTTTTGTAAGTTTAAAATAGATAATCGAATTATTATTTGTTCAGTTGTTGGAAAACTGCAAAATCCGGTAATAGGACTACACGTAACGTCGTTACTTGTGAAATATCTTCATCCGTTGCTTTTGGGTTAAGATTAGATTTAAATGTATTCCAAAATGAATACATATAGACTTATTTTGCTTTAATAAAAGTCGTGGTTTCACATTTAATGAAAAATTTTCCGATTTATATCCATTTATCAATTTACTTTGATTCACGAATTGTGAATCTACATATTCTTCTTTGGATCCAAAGCATGGTTTGTAAAATATTGCATTGATAAATAATACTTATGAGGAATACAAACTACGTAGTGAGTAAATGTTCCTTTAAATACAAAGTTACGATTGTTAAGTGCCTTTGTCACTGCAAACATCCAACCTATCGTAACTGAATGTTCTTTAATGATAAATTTTTCGGATTCTCTTGTGAAAAATTAATTAACTCACCGTATCATTTTCCGCATTATTTGAATAGCGTCGATAACTTTATGATGTCCACTTGATATTAATTTAATAGTAAGCATCAGATCAATTTCTTTTGTTTTAGCAGACTCTGATTTAGGCCATTCAAATTCCCTTGTTATATGCAAATAACGATTAACTCTCGTTTTATCTTGTTTACTCCCATCTGCTTGTTTATAATCGAATAGAATATGATGTAACAACGGTATACTCTTTGATCAGATGATATTGGCCATGACATCTATGACATCTTATCGTACTTCATAAAAACTGCATAAATCCGGATTTTTTTAAATACATGTCTTAATAAGACTTTTTGTAATGCAACCAAATCTTTATATTTGGTTAAGTTTCTCGTCCCTACTGGTTCGTCTCTTCGTTTATAAAGATACTCCATAGCAATACATGCAAGTTTGAGGGCATGAGCTTCATTTAGCCAAAAAATATGTTTAATTTACATGATAATTCTAAATAAAATTTACGTTTGTTTGATAAAATCAATGCTGCTGTAAATTTTTTGGATTAATCCAAATATATTCTAAAATTTTTTAATTTTGGTGTGTTCGTTATCTTCCATACTTGAACTGTAGTTTCTCCAATTATAAGTTTAATGGTTCTCTTTATCAAATAAAAAAAACTAATATTTTGTTATTTATGAACCCAGAGTTCTTTTTTAACGTTAAATGTTTTATAATTTTAAAGTCGCCTGTTTTCGAGGAATTTTTTTGAGCTTGATTAATGGTAATAAATGTACAACTTTATCAGGCGAATTTGCAAATATTATGTCACTTGAGCAAACGATTGAATATTTATTAGACTTTTGTAGAAGAACTAAAAATATTTAAATGATTGAATTTGTGTACATCATTTTTAAAGGTAAAAAGGTCCCAAAAATTTTACGTTGGTATGAATGTGGAATCTTTAGTGGCTTTTTAATGATTTCTTCGGTGACTTTTTCAATGACTTTGGAGGTTATTTCAGAGTATTCTTCTGTGGCATTTTCAGATTCTTCTTCGGTGACTTTTTCAACGTCTTTGGTGGCTTTTTCAGAGTCCTTTTTAGTGACAACAAATAATCTTTCATCATTGTTAATAAATGAAATCGAAAGGATTTTGATTTCGTCTGTAAAATTCTTTCGTCACAACTTTAAGTCCATTTTCCATTAAATGAATCGCATTTGTACCACTATGATATGGCCATCCATGTTTTGAGATGGAGAAAATAGGTTTTCCATTTGCTTTCTTTGGAAGTGAGATTTCATGAAACCTCAATTCTAAATCCATGGATTTTAAATTATACATTTCAAGTCTTTGAAAAAAATTATTTATTTGTTGAAGATTATAATCAAAGTCAGAATTTAAAAATCTTGTACAAGGTAAATCTTGATACAATTTATCGTTCTTAACTTTGGAAATTCATATTCGCATTCGTCGTCAAAATTACTTTTATTATAGTTATGTTAGATGAAAACCAGACGTGTTCATTAAAATTAAATTAGTGATCAATTAGCTTCCTTTGGCAAATTATTATTCAAAAATCTAACAACCCACCGCGATTTTTTACAGGAGTTTTGATTCACTCTTGATTTTGTTGAAAAAATAACCGTTTCTGTATTAGGCTCGCCTTTTTCTAGATCTTGAGTATTTCTTTGATTTTCGTTCGAGACATCATCCTTATTTTCACCAACTTTTTTCATATGACAAAACTTGATAAGGCTACGAATGCAACTAAATTTTTCCGATTTTTACGTAATTGGAAATGGAAAGATACTCTCGTAGTAATGTATTAATTTTCATTTTATCTATAGTGAAAAAAGTGTTATCGCTAATTTTGTTAGAATCCTTTTCATTTTCACGAGATTCTAATTTGTCAAGTTCTTTGTTAATTTCTAAGTCTTAAACTTTAAGATCGTTAGTTTCTAATCAAAATATAAGACGAATGAATAAATCAATGATTATTTCAATTTCAATTATACGTCAAAAGTGAAAAGTAATGTAATAAATTAAAAATACTAGAAACAGAAATGTAACTGTGGGTGATCGGCTATTAAAATCGCCTTATGGAACATCACGACCAATCTCCTTTTGTCAAAATCTGCCGGTTGTTCTACACAAAACCGCCTTGCTTTAGAGGCTAGTGTTTTAACCGACAGTGTAACGGTCAACGTTCTCAAGCAAAGCACCTCCCTCAATGGTTTATTAAAGTAATCTGACGAACCATCTTTTTTTTATTAATAGTTTTGCGTTGAATGGCCAAAATTTATCATTGATTGAGTATAAAAAGAGATTGCTCGCGCACGCACACTCTTTCACATCCATACTACCTTACCTTTCATATATATATATATAAAAGAATAATTATTACCGGATGTCTTGCTGTTTCATTTAAGGATCGGTATATCTTGCTGTTTCTATTAAAGGACCATTTAAAATTTTTGTAGCAGAAAATTGTAGTTGTTGCAATGTTACATTTTTTGTTAGGTTGAAAAAAGGAGAAAATGAGTAGTTGGAGTATACGTTCTAGAAGTTGTTTTAGATTTCTTTTTTTGAGGCATAATTAAAAATTGATAAAAAGAGTGTGAAAGAGATTGATCAAGTCACTAGCCAATCACATTGAGGGAGGTGATTGAGTTTCGGTTAAATTAATTTTATAAGAAATTGAACACGTCAAGAAATCAGCGATCTAAAATAAGATATAGAGTAATGAAACAAACGTATAAAGTGTAAATACATCCAAAATAGAAATAAACTTGCAAATAGAAACATAATTCTTGTTCGTACTACTCTACACCGTGAATTCGGATACTTTTAATGCTGACTTTTTATATAATATGCGACTAAAAATTTATTTTTGGTGATAATGAATGAATCAATTAATAAGGTAGTCATTTTCAAATAAGGAAATATAATTTCTATTATCACTCGGCAATTACGCACCAGTAATTTTTATGTAAATAGCAAAGGGTATTATGATTCAATATAGTTTATACTTTACAATATTAATTTGGAAACAGACCTAAGCATAAAAAAATAATCCCCACGATCAAACATTTTAAATCTACAATTTTACTCAAGAAAACATAAAACTTTTTTCAGCATGAAATATCAAAAAACAAAAGGGATCGTAACATCTAGTTGACACTTTGGATAACAAAATAATATGTTCAACGTTTATTACCCCATGATCACGGAGAAAACGATGATCCGTGGTAGCTGTAAATAGTAAAGGTAAGTTTCATACCTATGCTTACGCATACTGCATTAATTTTTCAAGCGTATTCTAGACATCATTTGATTATCTCATGATTCTGTTTGGAAATGTGTCTCTAAATTATTTACAGTCAAATAGGATCATGTCATGTTTATACATAAACTATAATTGTATAATTATTATTGATATTTATAACTAAATATAATATTGTATTTATACAGTAAGCATGATCATGTGAGACTGCAGATAAATACAGATATACTTAGATTTTCTCTCTCGTCGTAAGAGCATTTGTAGGAATAACTATTTGGTAAGTTTTATGCCCATGCTTACACATGATGTTTAGGATATTCTAGAGATCCTTGGACAAATACCAATGTGTAATCATTCGTTTGGATTTTCTTAAATTTAAAGTAGGTTCCCATTTCACATGATCGATCGATCACTTGTTGAAGGGAGCAACTTTGCGAAAAACTTTATTGTTAAGTGAACTTTATACCCATGCTTACAACTATTAAGTGTCATCGAAGTATTGTTAAGAATAACGCGTCACTTACTACTTATTTTCAGAACTAAACAAATAAATCTATTTATTATAGATCTTAGAATTTCTTTACTATATTTCTTTTCTTTATAGTACCTAGTATTGGATGTTATTTCGCAACAATATAATAGTAATTTATTCAAAATCTCAAAATTAATTGTCAGTCCAATTTTAAAATATTTGAAAATAAAATTTATGTGAACTAATCAATTATTCTGACAGTATAAATAAATATCTCTTCAATTGCAATAGCAAATGTATAACTTTCAGTGCTATTTCCCGTATTAAACTTTTGGCATAAAAGCAGCAGCGAATATGACTCGCTATTAAGATCAGCTTGAATAGATTCATACTAGAATCATCTTACACAAGGATGAGAATTGGCATCATACTAGAAACCTATGATGTCTTTAATAAATATGTATTTATTTCCCGTTTAGATGTGTGATTTCTGGGAATACTAGATACTGAACGAATTACATCATCAATGCCTTTACAAGAATTTTGAAGAAACGGCACGATTTAGAAAGATTTTGCGTTAAGTGAACAATTACATTGCTTTGGAACTGAATTTACTGCATATGGGATTGGGAAATTTATCATCAAATTCCTTGTAATGCATAAATTTTTAATTTTAAAATAACAACCTCAAACCGTATAATCCATATTTGTGTTTGGATATCAATCCATTATAACCAAAAATTTGCAGAAGGCGGTAATTCCAAAATTTCAAAGCAAGCACAAATGCGCTGCTACAATCATTACATCTTAAATAATAATATTTTTTAAAAAAAAAAAGTTCTTAAAAAATGAAATCTTAAGCAAAATATCTTAAAAGAAAATTTTACTTGACACATAATTTTTAAAAAATTACTTAGTTTCCTTAATTCAAATAATAAATAAAAGAATCATCAGTACTTCCTTCAAATTATATATTTTAATTTTTTTTAAAAAATTATATTCAACAACTTCAAAATTCCTTACAGTAATACCATAAAGTTCCCGTAATAAATCTGCCAATCAAATGGAATCAAGAAAGAGTATTACAGGACCAATCAGTCGTCTTCCTCCTCTGATAAAAAAATGGTTCCAAGAATTTTATATTTTATAGTAATTTAATGAGAAAATTTGTTAGACATGCTGGCGAGTCAAACCATCGAATGATATACCTAGGTGATTTACACCATAAAATCATGTCAAAAAAATCTATCCGGGACATGAATTGTTTTAAAGCCAGATCATATAAAAAATAAATAATATAAAATAACTTTACAATTAATACAAAATTTGTTTTTCTAGATTAGTATATAAATTTATATTTTAAAAAAAAAAAATTTAGAATATCAATACAACTTTTGTGTTAAACCATAATGGTTTATTTTAAAAAAATATATTATATTGTTAGATCAATAAAATCCCAGAGAATCATGTAAACTATCGAAGTAGTTTCTGAAATAATTCTACTGGTTGTATTGCGTTTGCGGCTGCAATTATCCATATATAATTATCGTCCGGTACGTAAACTTTTGAAGTTTTCTGGCATAATAAATCTTTAATGGAAGTGACTGTAATTATTTGAAAATGTGTGTTAAATATAGTATAATACATCTCAATGAATCCATAATCTCAAGAGTTAAATTACACTTACGGGGAAGAATATTCACAGCGGATCTTTAGAAATACTCAACAATTTTCAATTCTAGACCAATTTTAGGATAAACAATTCAACTAAAAAATGAATTAAAATAAAGTACAAGGTTAATTTTAATCATTATCACCTAACCTAGAAGATTAGAAATTTCGCGATAAAGGTCGATACTATCATGGCTTGTTCATGCCACATCATCATGTCCTGCATTAGGCGAACAAGTCACAGTTTATGTACTAGGAATTTAAGCCTTAAAACAAACGGAGGCTCCTAGGTCCCTGAGACAGATGATGAGAACCAATCAGCGGTAGCCTGGCCAGATTCCTCCCAGTACCTAATTTTGTCTATGGCTTGGGACACTGGTAGGGAATACCGAATCAAAGCCCGACATGCACTAAGTATTACGTTTAGTATGAAAATGACGCATATTAGTGAAAAGAGCAGATCCTACATATTTATTCCAAAACTATTGAAATGAAGGTTACAACTTACTGTCCAAAACACAAATCAAGCGTTAGGTTCATTCATAAATAAAATAGTTAGATTGTTGTGTTGATAGACAAAAATTATGTCAAAAATACATAAATGGTCTCTACATCACTCCTTTTTTGTGAAAATATTATTCAATTTATTTTTTAGAAAGTTTTTACGGAAAGTGAAGGTATTTAAATAGTATTTAAAGGAGTGAAACAAAATTTTTTAGCGGTGAAATGTTTAAGTCCCCAGAATATATAGGAATGACGGGTGCATGTCAGTATCACGTGATATACTATTTGTTAATCACGTTCCTGAAAAAAGGTCATATTATCTGTTGAATAATGTAAGCCTGCTTATTTTCATTTAATACATTTGATTTTTTTTTTAAAAAAAACCACAACGCATTAGTGAAGAACGAGATGTGGCTCATTTATATATTGGAAATCAAGATAACATAATAATAATCAAGTAAAACTTCGGATATTGGTTAAATTTTAAACAAAAATTTTATATTCACATAGAAGATATACTATACATTTATAACTACAAAATAAACTATTAGTCACCTTTCTGCTGGATTGAAGATTCTTGTAAATTGATAGGAGAATTGTCAGCTGTCCATAAATATTGCGATCATGCATGATATAAAAATTTGATTAATCAATTAGACGATGATTTGGGTAAAAAATTGAAGAATCCTTACTTGTTTAATTAAAACTTTGATTTTCAAATCTAATATAAATATTTTTTCGCTCATGCTGGTAAAGGATATGCTCGATTTTATCAGGTATCAAAATGTTGAAGAACGCATTAAATACCAATCAAAATATATTGAACTGATGCCGATTTCCTTAGAATCAACAGGAAAGGAAGAATCCGAAGTGAAAAATTCGATTAATAAGCCTTTTATTACAGAAATGAAATTATTGAAAAGGAATAATGAATGTTCAAGGAAAATGTTTCCTCGTGATTGCGAGTAAAGTTTTAATTGATATAATTAATATTTAAAATAAATTTTTTACTGTCTATATAAACAAATAATGCACACGCAAACTTTTTGACTATTACTATGCATATTAAAAAAAATCATTTGATGAGATTATCAATTAAAATCTTTTTTTTTTATTGGTATCAATCAAATTCGGTTCTACTGTATATCTGATTTGAATTTGAGCCGACTCTTTTGAGCAGGTTCGGTTTATTTTTTAAATTGGTAAAAATGGTTCTAAACTCAGGTAAAATCAAAATCTGCTAATTCAGGATCTGTTACAAAACCTACTCTTCCCCATCCCTAGTTAAAATTCACAACAAAATCAACGATTGATTCAATCTTATTTAATTATTATCTACATCGACAATATCATTTCTTTTTTTATCTTACATTAAGTTTACCACCAATGATATATAGATTCTAAACAAATTAAAGCTGAACAATTATTAAATGAGCTATACTAATTTCGTGAAGCAAACGAATAAAAATATTACCTACTGTCATCATGATTAAACCGACTATCCTTTAGGAGTTTGTTCTAGACATAACAAAATTGCTGACTAATTCGATATGCCGATCCTGCGATCCTGATGCTCATATTATTTGTTTGCGACAAACTGTAAATAAAAATGGTTTTCTTGCAACATTCATAAATATAACAACTCATAATAGATTTTTCAAACATTCAATAACACTTTAAATAAATACTAAACCAAATTTTATAAAAAAATTTATTGTACTCTTTGATTGTATTTAAATAATATGAAGAAAACAATAACAAAAAAAATGAAATTTCGTCAGTAAAAACTTAATTCATCAAATATTTATAAAATGTATAAAAAAATATAGAGCTTCCTAAATTTCCGTGACTTTGCTTAATGATTGCATTAATATTTTATCAATCTTACTATTAACCTCATCTATCTTTTTTTCCAGATGAATATTAAACTCATTAGGTTCATTATTATTAAATTCATTACCTTTGACACAAATCTCTTCTTCATTTTCCTCTTCACATTCAGAACTATCGTCATCATCGGATAAATCATAACCATCTTCGTTATTAAACAAAAATCTATCATCATCTATTTGCTTATATGATAATTTTCTTTCAAACATTTTTTTTTCATAATCATGATATAAGTTTTTCTTTTTACTTTTTTTAACATTCGCATTCCATTCTTTATAACTTTTTGATTTACCTATATAATAAATATATTTTGGTTCGGGTGACGGAGGGTAGAAATAAATTTCATCCAATGCCTCATAATCTGAAATTGATTCTGCACGAAATCGTAATAATGCAACACGACCTTTCTCAGATGCTTTAGAATACACGCCCCTAATAAATAAATTTTAATTTTTTTTTATTTAATTAATTGTATTCGAAAAAATATGAAGGGCAAAATAAATAAAACATACCCCATAAAAGCAATAAACATATTTTGTAAAATGGTTACTAAAAGAATACTACCAAAGAAAGTGATAAATTTCACTGCCCAAAAGTCCCATGCATCCTGTTGTAAAAAAGCACCATTTAACCAGTTATATGTTGAAAGAAATGAGATAATGAAATTTTTAGCTGGATTATCTTCAGTTCGATCAAAATCATTTTGAATTTTGTTAGTTGAATCAACAGTAAATAAAGTAGATTTTGATGATATTTCTTTAAGATTTGTAAAGTTAGGATATTGTAATAATAGTAAAAAACTATGTGCTAATCCTGCCATCACAAGAATCATAAAAGTAAGAAATAACCAAGTTTCTTTAATAATGTTTAACATAATGTAAATATATTTTGCTGGTTCTAAAGAAAATTATTGTTGTAAAGAATAAATACAATACATTTAAAATTACGAAGATATACAAATGTTAATTTTTAATATTACCTGATATCAACCGAAGATACAAGATCTATTTGAAATAAAATAATAATGATTAAATTTTAATTTAAATTTAAATTTAAATTTTTTTTTTTTTTGCAAAAAAAATCACAAAGATACATACAAATTCAAACCAAAGTAATAACATCGTAAAAGAAATTGCAATAGTTATTTTTTGAGTTGTCGCAACATTAGCAAATGCTTTTTGAGTATTAAATGAAGGAGCAACGCAAACTGACATTACAACTATCGCTGTAACAGATGAAATTAAATCTGCACAATTAAATAAGTTAAAATAACGTCTCCAACCATGATGCTCAAACTGTCTGTATTCAACATATAATAAATAATATCCCAAATAATAGAATAAAACAATAAGGAATAGTATAGAATTACACAAATATCCTGTTGCTTCAAAATGCGCCACATAAGTTCCACAAATAATTGCAAAACAAGCCGCGAATAAAATATATACAAAAAAAAGTCGAAGAAAATAATTTCTTGCTGGACGCCATTTATAGCTAATTACTGCTTCCATTACTGGGTTATTAAATATGTCATCATTACTTTCTGATCTAATGATTTGAACAAATGGACTAAGTTGTGAAAAATATTTTGCATTATCTGAATTATTAACAAAATAACTTCGAGGAAATAATAGTAGTTTCAATAGCTTGGTAATAAACCAACTTTCATGGTCATAAGTTTTTTGTGATATACTATTAACAGTAAAATTATGTAAAGGAACTATTTTTACGATTGGAGAATAATTTTCATAATCTTTTGAAAAAATTTTTACGTAAAGTTTTGACAATCTTAATTTCAAATCATTTCCCAAAGTTTTAAAATTGACTGTTGGCTCACTTGTTGAAATAAGTGTCGAAATAGGGTTAAATGCTATGAACTTATCTGAAGTAATTTGATATTTTTTTGGTACAATATCTGTATGTTCAATAATATTTGATATTTCTAAACCTTCCATGCATCGTTTATAAAATAATTCGCTCACACAGTATTCTATTTAAAATAAATATTTTTTGTTTTTAAAAAAAACAAGGAATAATTTTAAATGATCTTAAAAAATGATAATACATACCTAATTTATGTGTATATAAATCTGGTAATGCTTTTGAAATCGCAATTAACCATCCAAGATTTTCAGTTGCGTTTTTTGTATAATGTTCAAGTAAATAAGTTACAACTAAAATTCTACGGTTACGTTCAAGATCTAAATAAATAAATAAATATTTATATATGAATTAAAAATATTTAAATTTATTTTTAAATAATAAACTTACCTGGTTCACATAATTTAATAGCAATTTGTAAATCACTTAAT